AGCAGTCAGACCTGGCTGACTGCTCTTCCCAGCAGATGTCTGGAAAGTTCAAGTCACCCATGATGACCACATCCTTTGACCTAACTACCTCCGTGAGCTGACTTAAGAATTCCTGTTCTAGCTCTTCCCCTTGGTTGGGTGGTCTTTAGTAGACCCCACCATTATCAGTGAATCCAGAGATAACTGATAGGCCTGTGTGAAGTGGCTAGTATTCGCTTCGGATTCTGCCAATTCGGGGGACAGTGATTCAGTTTGGTAATTTGAATCACAGTCCCAAAGCAATTTGTCCAAATCTGATTTGAAGATTCGGTCCCTGCCGAATAAGCTGAATCTCTAAATCAGACAGACCCCATCTCCCACGTGCTCTCCCAACCCCATCAATGACTGCCCTATCCAGTCCCAGGTCCCGGCTCTTTGGAAGAAAAAGCCCCCAGTCACCAGCTGCTACCAGGTGAGGTGGCCATTTTTGCTGCCCCCACTGCCCCATGCTGTGTGGGGGGGCTGTGTCATAAGCCCCTATCCCCCAGCCACTCTCCTGCCCCAGCTCCTGGCTCTTTAAAAATAAAAAAAATTTAAAAAGCCTGCATTCATTGGCTGCTGCCAGGCAGGGGCCGTGATCCCTGCTACCCTCCACTGCCCCATGTCATGTGGGGGGCTCTATCACAAGCCCCCCAATCCCCGCCCGCTCTCCCTGGGAGGCCATGGAAATGTATCATGTGGTCCAGCCACATTCAGGTGGTAGTTTTTGCTGAGGAAAGGCCCATGCATGGGATAGAGGGCAATTTTTGTGAGTTGGTCAATTATTGTCAGGATTGTAGAAAAAACATTTGAGAATGGCCACTTTACAGTGAAGTCCAGGGAGCTGACCATGGCCAAAGTGGGGTGGTGAAGAGTTGGAGGAGTCAGCAAAGGTTCTGAAGAGGTTTCTTGATTTGGGCACAGACATTATAAGAATGGACTAAGACCATCTGTATCATCTTGTGCAGTTGCAGCCACCAAAAACAACAGGAGATGAGGCGATAGGTGTTCTTAGTTCCAAAGTGGCCTGCTAATAGGGAGTCATGATTTAGGCAAAAGACAGTTAATCTATCCAGACCCAAGGGCACATTAATGCTATCTCAGGTAAATATCACCCCATCTTGGACTCGATGTGGATGTTGTACAGATGGTCTGCTCTTCAGGGAATATTTTCTCTTGAATAGTGGCACAGAGCAAAGAGAGTGAGTCCATCAGCAACACAGCACAGATGAGGCTATGCGGCTTCAGAAAAGAATTAGATTCATATGGCTTTTGTGATGAGTCTGTGTCATATTCAACCTTCCATGCACATCTTCCAGATATTTCATAGGTCTGAATTAGTTATCAGCATGTAGCAGATCCTTTCTCTGCTGTATATATTACAGCTGCATCCAGTAGATTTTTGACACAAATCCAAATTCATATGTTAATCCTTCTGTGATATTGGCTGAGTAGCTCTTTAAATATCTATAGCTGTTAATATATACAGAATAGTTTTATGTCATGTTAGTAGTTTGTGACAGGTTAACTTCACATATCAGGTGGGAGGTTGCAAGTCTTAGGAAGTTTTTTGCATTTGTGGCCTTTTCATACTTCTCTCTTTCTGCACATTTACCAGTGTCAAGTTAAACTTCAGTCCAGAATTCATTATGATTTCAATTAATCTAGTAAAACATCACAAGTCACAGAGGTCTTTATACTGAAACTTATTTATAGTGGCTAATAAACTCTAACTCACTGGAAACCAAACAGATTTGGAGGTCAAATGACTGATGAAAGGAGGGGTGTCAATTACTGTGTACAGCATTACATTTCTAGTGTGATTTTTTAAATCCTAAAATATAACATTACATAATTTTAGCAAGTCTTTATTATAAGTATACAGCTAATAGAGTTGTTCACTTAGCCTCCCCATTCAGGATTTCATCTGGTAAAGCATTAATTAATTCCTTGTACTATTTCCTTCCAAAGGTGTAACTTAACATTAGGTTAAGTGGTGCAGCAAGGGCAGTCAGTGACCCTTAAGAATCATCAACTGTTTATTAGCAGTCCAAATGCATGACTTGCTCCTCTGTTCCATGACCTTAGTTCAGCAAACAAGTAGAAAATATATTAGGTCATTTTTAAGGATTTAATTGCTTACAAACAAAACAAATCAAGTGGCATCTCAGCTTTGATCACATGAGCACCATTGTTGGCAATCTCATTAGTCTTTGATTTATTTTGTTTGCAAGGAATTAATTAATTAAAAATGGCTTCATTGTATCAGCTATATTTTTTATTAACTGAAATTGTGAAACAGAACACCACATGCACTTGTTCTTTCACATTTTTATTGCCAAGGTCAAATATAAAAAACCTGTTCAGAGGCCTTTAACTCAGCTTAATATATCAATTGTTTGTAATCATAACTTGAAAATGGTACATAAATACATAAGCCCCTCCTTAATTTCATTATGACCTTCACTCTGAGTCAGTATAAGCTACGTATATTTATTTCTTGTCCTTTTGGTGGCATAAACAAATTATGAGCCCAGTGTAGCCCACACTGAATTCTGTAGAGTTATATAATACATCATATTGTTGAATTCAGTTTAATATAGAGGTTCCCAATACCAGTAAAATCACCAGTGCAACTCCCATTTGGATACTGCCTGTACTTTCTTGCTGTATGAAATGCTCTTTCATATATAATAGCTGTCTTTACTGTTTCATTGAGTTTCCAAGATTTATATATTTTAGAAGTTGCATTTTATCCAATGACTATATAATGTATAAGTAGTATAAGAGAGATGATGTAGCTATGATAGTCCAGAAATTATATGAGGCAAGGATTTCTTAGGGTGATATCTTGTATTGGACCAACTATACAGAGCCAACTGAATATTTGGTCCAGTAAAAAATACCACCCTAAGAAATCCTTGCCTCTCTATATAATGTATAATGCATAAATAGTCTTTGGAGAAAGGATCAGAACCTAGGTGAATGAGCTACATCACTGGGTTTCAGTCATGTTTCCTTTTTTTCCTTTTCTCATGGTTAATGAATCCGGATTTTTTTTCAAAGTGGCACAGCTTCAACAAGTGGAGAGTGCTTCCTTTCCCCACTAAAACAATCTGTGGCCAGGGGATTAGGACTGTGTTCTAGGAGTTTTGAACCCCCTTAGATTAAGGAAAGAATTGAACTTCCTGGTATACGTTTCTGCCTATTACGTTATTGCAGTGGACCATCATCACCCTGTGTTTTTTAATGAATGTGGCCATAGCTGCCTCTGTTCATATGGAGCTGAATAGTGTGAGTGTCAAGCATATAGTGATCATGCCTTCACATCTGGCCACTCAGGGGACTTCATAGTTTCATAGTTTCTAGGGT